AAGGAGGTTGAAGAGTGTAAAAGGGGAATAAATGGTGATGGAACAAGACTTGACTTTGGGTGGTGAACATGAAATACAATATACAGACGATATATTATAGAATTGTACACATGAAACCTATATAATTTCATTAACCAATATTACCCCAATAAATTCAATTAAAAACATTTTTAAAGATCTTAAAGGGCTTCAAATTCACATTCCGTATGCAATAATTCCTTTTCAATAGGATAAAAACAGAATCTAGGTAGATGTATATTATTGGCTGGATCTCTAGCAACCTTCAAATGTGCTTTACAAGATTATTTAAAATATCCCTACTATGAATTTGTCATCTTACCATTTTTGTTTTGTTTTTGTTTTTTGGTTTTGACAAAGGAATTCCTGCCAGAGGATATTCTGGTGAATTGAGGAATTCCACTGATTTACTAATTCAACAAAAAAATTTTTTTATTATTCCTCACCTGAGGATGCTTTTCTATTTATCATCAGATATAGTGGGAAGGAGGGAGAGAGACAGAGAGAAACATCAATGTGATAGAGCCACATCGACTGGTTGCCTCCCGCATGACCTGACCAGGGCCAGGGACAAACTGCAACCAAGGTACATGCCCTTGACCAGAATCAAACAAGTGACTCACTGGTCCGTGAGCCAAAGCTCTAACCGCTGAGCCAAACCAGCCAGGGCTTAATTCAACAAATTTTGAACACCTCCTCTATTATAGACTCTGTGCCAGACCCTGAAAAATAAATATAAAATTCAGCCTCTACCCTAAGAAAAATATGGTCTAATCATTGGTGTAGTAAAGTAACCAGAAGTTATCAGACAGTGAGATAAGTAGCTATGACAAAAGTTTTAAGTAGGGGAGAGTCTACAGTGGGATCAAAATTCTTATTACAAGAAAAAAAAAATGTGTATCTATGTGTTGTGAAGGATGTTAACCATACATATTGTGATGGTCATTTTGCAATTTATACTTATATCAAATCATTATGTTGTACACCTGAAAGTAATATAATGTTATATATCAATTATACCTCAATAATAAATTGGCATGGTCCAAAAAAAAAGCAGTTAACAGTTTTTCTAATAAATCAACACCAGTGGGTGGTGTTAAGTGGGGAGGGCTGTCAGGCTGCGTTTTAGATACCTCACTCTGCCTGGGCTGAGACTAGAGAATTTGGAAACAGACAGTGGAGGGACTGGAAACGGGGAGGCTGAGGCTCGGGCAGGCCTGGAGCAGATGGGAGATGCAGTTGGAAGCTCATTTACAAAGAGAAGTTGTGGGATTCAGTATCTGATAGGCCTGGGCATGAGGGAGAGGAAGGACTCTGGTTGACCCTGATTTTGGTGCAAATGATAATGGCACAAGTAACGGAGAGGAAAGCCAGGAAGGGAACCATAATTCAGAGGCAGGAGGGCGGGATGCACTAAGGGAAGGCCGGGTTCGACATGTCAGAGGAGGTTCTGCTGGAATTGTGCGTGAAGAGAGACGCGGGCAGCCATTAGAGGATGTACACATGTGAGCAAACGTGATGGAGGAATCAGTCAACAGGAATGTGTTGTGCGACGAGAACAGGACAGAGGAGGAACTCCGCGAAGCACCAACGTGGAGGAGTGGCTGCGGAGGCAACCAGCCCAGAAAAGATGGGGACACACCCGAGGGAGCAAGGACAGAGGCTCCAGCTCAGAAACCCAGGGAGAGAACTTCCAGGAGCAGGTGGTCCGCAGCAGGGCTACCCAGTCAAAGTGAAAAGCAAGCCACGGGTGTTCCAGTCCCACCTTAAAAAGAAAATCAATACAGGTAAAATCAATTTTAATAATATATTGTGTTTAACCCCACGTAGCTAAAATATTATGACTTCAATATGTAATCAACATAAAAAAATTGAGAGATTTTGTTTTGCTTTGTTTTATGTGTGTGTGTGTGTGTGTGTGTTGTTTTTTTTTCAAACCACATCTCAGAAACCTGGTCTGTCTTTTACTTAAAGCTCATCTCAATGTGGATGCTTAATTTTCTTCAGAAATGCTTCCTCGATATTTAGATTTCATAAAACTCATAATTGAACAACTGATTCACAGACGCAAGTTGTTCTAACCATACTCAAAAGTTTTCCAATCATGTATCTACTTTTAAATTTAAACTTAGAGTAATATTAAATGAACACGTCGGTTGCCTAGTGCACGCCACATTTCCAGTGTCCAGTAGCCTTCCGCCCAGCTGGCCACGCTGCGCACGGCGCCGCAGACAGCCCGCAGCGCAGTCAAGAGACTGGGAGCAGCCAGTGGAGATGAGGGCCGGAGGCCACTGCACAAGCAGGGGGAGGAAGGTTTTGTGCTTGTGCTTTTGTGTCATATGCTAAAAATCATTACCAAGACCCATGTTAAGGAGCTTTGTTTCTGTTTTCTCCTAGGAGTTTCATGTTTCAGGTCTCTATTTAAGTCTTTAATCCATCTTGAGTTAATTTTTGTGAGTGGTGTAAGATAGAAGTCCAGTTTTATTCTTTTACATGTGAATGTCCAATTATCACGCATTTATTGAAGAGACTGGCCTTTCTCCATTGACTATTCTTGGCTCCCTTGTCAAATATTAGTTGATCATATATGCTTGGGTTTATGTCTGTGACCTCAGTTCTGTTGCTCTATTGGTCTATTTTTATGCCTATACCATACTGTTTTGATATTCTATATTATAGCTTGACATCAGGAAGTGTGATGTCGCCTGCTTTGTTCTTCTTTCTCGGGATTTCTTGGCTATCTGGGTTATTTTGTGGTTTCACATAAATTTTAGGAGACTTTTTTGCCACTGGAATCTTGATAAGGATTGCATTGAATCTATAGGTGGCTTTCAATAGTATTAATATTTTAACAATATAAATTCTTCCAATGCTTGAACATAGGATACTTTTCCATTTATTTATGTCTTATTTGAGTTATTTCACCAATGTCTTCTGGTTTTCAGAGATCTTTTACCTACTTAGTTAAATTCATTCCTAAGTACTTCATTATTTTTGATACCACTGTAAATTCATTTATTTCTTTTCAGAAATTTTGTTGTTATAGAATCATAGATCTTGCTCTGAGAAGAAAGTGGAGACTGGAATAATCATTGTTACATTGCAGTTGGCGTTAACTCATAATCACAATGAAAACATAATCACAGAGGAGTGTGCTAGAACTTAAAGTTCACGGGAAAGGCTTCACAGTCGTGTTTGCATGCTCTTTTGCACTGTCAGCTTGGCTTCCTCATAGATGTAACTGGTACAAAGCAGGGTCTGACACAGAAGCAATGTAGGAACACGAGTGCCGATCCCGAGCCTGCTGTCCCAGGGCAACTACACCCCTATGGTTACAGAGGCTTGACAAAAACACTGCCTGCAAGCAGCAAGAGAATACCGCTGCTCTCAGTGGGCTTGAGGATCCATCTCTGAAATCCCCTTATTTGTCTGTCCACTGTGACCAAATTATGTGCAAAGTCCTATGTGAGACCCCTCTATCAATGTCTAGAAATCATAAGGATAAATGATTTATCTGAACCAGCACTACAGAGAGGCAAACAGCTGCTCACACATGCAGAAAACATGTCTAGCCCACTTCAAAGACATTATGCATGTCTTAACCACCAAAGGAAAGAATTCCAAAAAGAAAACCATAAATAAGTCTTCAGGGGGGAAGACATATTCAGCATTTTTTATTGCTTTGTTGAAAGGCAGAGCTTTTTTCTTTTGCTGATCTTGAGCCAATAAAGCTATTTACATAATTTTTTAAAAACTGAGTACTAAAAAAATCTGTATAACAAAAGGTTTATCCATCTGGAATAGCAATCCTGGTACATGAGAAAGAAGACCGTAACCTCACCTGGTGTAGACAATTTACTAGTCAGTTCCAAAAGCCCAGAGAGAGAGAGAGAGAGACAGAGAGACAGAGAGAGACAGAGACAGAGACTGCAGAAGGAGGGCTGGGCCATGGGGCAAATACCAAAGGAAGGCCCCTCAGATGAGGTTAATCCCAGGGTCTACCTAATCGTGGTTTGTTCCAATGGAGAAGATTATTCCAATGGAGAGAATTGGCTCAGGGGATCAGCAGCATCTGGTCAGTATGAAAACTCTGTTAGGACTCCACAATCACATCTAATACTTACAATACATTTGCCTTGTACCAAGCAAAGTTCTGAATGCTTTGCATGTTTACATATTTAACTTCCTTTCATCTTCATAACCCTTACAGATGAGGAAACAGGGGCACAGAAAGGTGCCTCACACTAGTCACACAACTAATCAGGTGCAGAGCCAGAGTTTTAACTCATGCTGTTTAGCTCCAAGACTGCAAACGCCTGTTAATCTCAAGTATTTCACTTCAATTCAACTCTTCTTGCATTTAAATCCCAGTGGGCCACAGTTAAGGAGAAGTCCCTTAGATTTCCCTAGCTAAAATTTCAACCTCATTGTCCTAATAGATATATACATGTCATTTTAAGAATCAAGACTTTACTGAACTGGAGCTAGATATTTCCCCAAATTTGCATTTAAATAAGGTACATCTTGCTACCACTTCCAATGCACTTGCTCAGATGCACAGTTTGTGGTGCTTCCTGGTTATTAGTCACTTCTATCCCAGAGGATGATGAAATAATGTGAGCTTTTTTATTAGCGAGGTTCCTGATGAAGGTTCTGGCTGCTTCCAGAAGGAGCCAGAGGACCAGACACCTGCAGAACACAGACATCACAGTGTCAGTGAGCCCAGCAGAGAGGGTCAGGAGTGGTAGAAACAGGAAGCTTCTGCTCAGGACCCCATCACCCTTGAAAAAATGACTGACCTAATGACTCCTCAGTGACAGGTCCCAGGGTGGAGAGGGGGTGTCACCAAGACAAATAAAAGAAGCTGAACACCAGCGTTGGAAAATCAAAGATCCCACTGAAAAATGTCTCTCCCTGGAGCAGTGAGCTTTCTGAATTCGAGATGGCAAATCCTAGTAAACTCACCCATAAAAGATCCAGGAAAGGTCGAGAAATGTCATAAGTGACCCAGCCTCCTCGTTGAAGCCAGCTGTGGCCATGGAACTGAACCAAATCAACTCCTAGTAGCTCAAGGAAAGAGATGGGCTCCTGGTCCCATCTGGATGGCAGGGCCCTGCAGTGTGGGTGCCCCTCATTGTTGGTTGTGCTGCTGGCAGGGCTCCTGGCCGGTTGCTGGACCTAAAATGGAAGAGCAAACGTTTTCAGCTCAGTGGGCTGGTCAGGTTCCTCATAACCATAACAAGAAATGGTCCTTTTCTTGTCCCTGGAGTTCTGGTCCAAGTCTCAGCCACAAAAAGGGCAAAAACCTTGAAAGTGGCTGAGATACCTTCTTGTATATTTTTGGGCAACAGAACTTGCAATGGCAGAACCCTTAAAATGACATAGGACAAGGAAGTGGTGTTTGTCAAGCACACACTGTGAGCCAGGTTTTGTCCATGTTATCCCACTGAATTCTTAAAGCCTCGTAAGGCCAGGGTTGTTAGTCCTGTTTACAGAACAGGGACAACACACAGGAAGGTGGCATGGTTTCAAATTGTAAAGCAGCTCTCTAAGCCCAGTGCAGTTGAGTCCAAAGCCTTATTTTTAAAAATATTGGTACTTTTATCACCTCCATCATCAATAGTGAATCCTAGAACTGGAGAGCTGGGAGAGGTGTCAGAGATCACGTAGGCCAGCCCTTCCATGTGCAGCAGAGGGAGTGGGGTCCCAGAGTCTGCTGAAGGCAGTGCCCAAAGTCACAGACACTTGTTTGCTTCTGTATTCATGTGCTGCTCTAACAAATTACCACAACCTGATTCCCTAAATTGACACCCATTTATTATTGTTTCTCTGGGTCAGAAGTCCGGGCAAGGTGTGGCTCGGCTGGTTCTCTGCTTAGGATGTCAGGGGCCAAAATCAAGGTGTCAGCAAGGCTTCGGCCCCTTCTAGAGGCTCCAGGACGAGTCCTCTTCCAAGCTGACTGAGTTTGTTGGCAGAATTCAAGTACTTGTAGGACCAAAGTCCCCTTTTCTCAGTTTGATTCTCTCCACTTTTCTGCCTCTCTGACTTCAGCTGGACAAAGTTCTCTGCTTTGGAGGGCTGTGTGATTCTACTGAGCCTACCCAGACAATTCAGGACAATCTTACCATTGTAAAATCCGTACCCTTAATTTCATTTGCAAATTACATGGTCACGAGTTTGGAATTAAGGTGTTAACAACTTTGGGGGCCATGTTGCCTACCACATCATAGCTCTGACCAAAGGCAGAGGAGAACGTTAGAAACCCAGAATAAATGCTTAGTCACCCAAATCAAGCACCATGTGTCAGGATCCCCAAGGCTCTATGCTAGAGTGGCTTCAGGCAGGAGGCTCCTATGAGCTGAGGTGACACCCCCATTCCCTACTACCCAGCGGAAATTGGGAGAACCACGGTGCCCTGGTTATTCTGGTGTCTAGGGCTTGTTCTGGAGAGTGCCTGCATCATTTTGGGAGGGCTGCTACAATTCCTCAGAACATTCAACAGACAGATGTGCAAAATAAGTACCAAAAACCTACTGCAAAATATTCATTTGTATGTTAATGTATTTAGTCATTCAATAAAAATTTATGGTGAGCTTACTGCAAGTAGGCAATGTGACAAAGATTTGTGGATTTTTAGCAATTTTGAATTATTTATAAGGCAGCTCCCTTGATTAATATGAATAACTGAATTGACCACATTTGGGCCTTTACCGGGGTCAGCATTCACGCGGCCTATGTACACCGAAACACCCCAAGGGAACTGAGTTTGGTGGCAAAGTGACCAGACTTCCTCCATAAGTGGATGGAGGTTGAACTGAAGATAAGTGACCTCTACAAGTGGGTTGAGGACCTGTGGTTGCTGTCATTGTTGTTCTTTCTTCCTGGGGACCCAGTGTGGAAGGTGGGCAGAGGGACAGTTGTCCAGCAGGATGCATACAGGCTCTTTGGTGAGGCCAGCGAGGATGTTGGAGACCACTGTTCATATTCTACCGTAGCCCTTTGCTTCTGTAGTTCAAAGCTATGCACCCTCAGAGTATCAGCTCATCTCCTAGTGGACTGACATATGAAAATCTGAAATTATTAAAACAAGAATTTAGGGAACAACTATTCACTTTTCAAAAAGACCCAGCATTCATTATGAAACATCTTTAAATAGCAAGCTTTCTTTAAATGTGTTTCAATTTAGTAACAGATTCAGATTTGTAAAGCTGGAAGTGGCCTTGAAATTCAAACTCTATATTTTAAAACAAGAAAAATGGGCTCAGAGAGGCAGAGTGACTTGCCCAGAAGCATAGCTAGTTGGTGCAGGCAGGACTCAAACTCAGAACCTCTGGGTGTGTGCCCCCTTTCCATCACACCACTCTGCCTGGTACGGCAATGCTTATAAATTGATGTTTAAAAATTGATAAATTGTGTGCGTGGATGTTATATGCCAGGCTGTGTTAACGTTAACCCTGCACCTCTCTTCACACAGACACACAAAGAGGTGGGGGTGCTGGCTGACCGCCAGGAGAGCTGGTTTCTAGTCCCAGATCTACAACTAACAAACTGTGTGACCACAGGCAAGTTGTCCAACCTCTCTGGACTTCACTTCCCTTTTATGTAAAACTGACTAAAGTTTAAAGCCTTTTCCACCTCCAATATCCATGACCAAATGCAAAAAGCCTTGTAGGATTAGCTACATGTCACATGCAAAATAGAAATATGAAAGGAAGGATTTGGGCTGAAAACTGCTGACTTCATTTGTTCTGTGCAAGGAAGCAGAGGTCTCCACAGATTGCATAAAAGGACACTCAGTTCCTGATGAGATGCCCCTTCCCAGTCCACTGAGGCACAGTATGAGAGGTGGGGGAACCCCTGGGTGGAAACAAAGGAAGTAGGTGGTTCAAAAAAAATGTTGGGAGGAAGCGAGAGTTCACCCACCCCAGAGACCACGTCCCTATGATCACATTCTCATGGCTGCTACAAATGGGACCTTGCAAGGTCTCTCAAATCACCAGAACTGGCCATCAGCACACTTTCCAGGGCCATCCCATCCTAGCCAAGGGTGTAGAGGGACAGCAGCTGTGTTCAGGGCTGGTGCACTTTTTGCCTAGCCTGACCTCTGAGACATGAGGCAAGGAAAGCAGAGGACGCCCGAGAGTCCAGCGAGCCCAGCTCTGCTTTCTGGCAAACACCACCCTCAGTGGCTGAGAAAACTCCCGTGTCTCTTCACTTGACCTCCACTTCAACCCTAGCAGATAGACTGATATTCTTCCCATTTTATTAATGAAAAACAGAGGCTCTGTGAAGTGACCTGCCAGTCCTGCTCACCACCCCCAGCCTCTCCTTGGGGCGTCGTTAGAGTCCACAGACAGGTGCCCGTCAGAATGCAGCATTATGGCCCAGAGGCCCTTCGCAAACATCAGAAGCCTCGACAAGAGAGACTAGGAAGGCACCTGGTGCCTACCATTTATACTCTGTGTACAAGAGAATCCAGAAATGCACAGAAGCTGACAATATAGTGAGACTCATCCAAGAGACTCAAAACTGACGAGGGATCGTGACCAAGTCCTCATTGGCCTAAGTGTGCTGGCTGAGGACCAGCCGGTCAGAGCAGGGAGAAGAGTAGTGAAGACTCTGCAACCTTACCTTCCAGCTCACTCACAATCATACCGCCATTTGCTTGCCATACACATAGAACATTAAATCCCAAGACAGTAATAAATGCTGTTCAATGACAGAAATGAGTTTTTATTACTTGGGGCAATATTATGGTTTCCACTTTAACGTTTACCCTCTACTTATAAAATGGGGCAGAGAAAGGAGGCAGATGGGACTTTTCATGATGATTTTTTTCCACAGCTACTATTGTGGCTTTTATTACCAGTGGTGAACTTGAAATTCCACCAGCACAGGTGGTTACTCTGATCTTTCCAGGCAAAAGCGTTAAGCAAATAAAAAGGAAACCACCTTATTAAAAACAGAAAAACTCTCAAAAGTTAAGAACCAAAATATTTAGAATGGCAACCCCTTAAAGAAAGATTTAAGCATATTCAATGAATGGAAATTCCCCATCAAAAGGACAAAAGTGCTCAGCCCAGATGAGTCAGAATTTAAAGATTAGCGGGGAACGGGAAAGGAAGCCATCTCCGAGCACACTCCTGTGCCCTCCAGGAAATAACACCCATTGGGGCCACTAGGAGTGGTGGCCTCCTTGCACCATTGTCACATCTTAACTAAATGCAGAATCCAGGTGTCCCTGTATGGTTATAACTGTGCAGCTATGAGCATGAGTCCAGGTCTGCCCTTGCAAAACACATTTTGAGGAAACTGAGGAAAGAGCCTTCTCCTGGGGGGCCTGGGTAAGAATAGGATTCATAGAATTGCAGAACCAGCAGAAATCTTGCAGGTTATCTGGCCTGTCCCATCATTTTACAGAGAAGGAGACTGAAGCCTCAAGAAGGAAAGTGATGAGTCGGAGGTCACCGTGGTACTTGGTGACAGAGCTGAGACTAGGGCTCAGATCTCTAGGACTCCTGGTCCACAACGCACCTGGTACTATCTTCAACCATCGATGGAAAAGTCCAGTACAGGCATAGGCTTTACCCAGTCCTGCTCCAGCTCTTGAAGGTTTTCCTCTATATACCTATCATTTTCTTGCCATGTTCCCTGGTCCTCTCTCTCTCCTCTCCTCTCCCCCTCATGCATAGAACCTGGAACTGTCTGCTTCTGTCACTGGGCTGCCCTCTGTGTACCCCAGCAGAAGCTCCACCTCATTTGAAAGGCATGCATGAAGAATGGAGATAAGATGGGTGCAAGAGAAGGGGTGCATGAGGAGGGGTAAAGGAAGAAGGGTCCAGGAGGAGGGGCTGTAGCAGTAGGAAGGTTGCAGGATGAGGGGTACAGAAGGAGGGGCACAGGAGGAGAAGGGGTGCAAGAGGAGGAAAGGTGCAGGAGGAGGGGTGCAGGAGAAGGAGGGGTGCAGGAGGAGGAGGGGGAGGGGTGCAGGAGGAGGAGGGGTGCAGAAGGAGGAAGGGTACAGGAGGAGGAAGATGCAGGAGGAGGAAGGGTACAGGAGGAGGAAGATGCAGGAGGAGGAGGGGTGCAGGTGGAGGAAGGGTACAGGAGGAGGGGTGAAGAAGTGGGGGTACAGGAGGAGGAGGGGTGTAGAAGGAGGGGTGAAGGAGGCAGAGGGTTACAGGAGGAGAGGTGCAGGAGGAGGGGTGCCAGAGGAGGAGGGGTGCAGAAGGAGGGGTGCAGGAGGAAGGTTGGACAGATTCAGGTCCTAGCTTGGAGCACACAGAGGAGGCATGTAGAAAGCTTTAAAGGAAAGGAATTGTTCTGGCACTTCTGGGTCTGGTTGATTTCACAGCGTTGGATAAGTGAATGATAAAATAGGGACAATTTAAGCTCTTCTCATTCTCCACAAAGAAAAAAATCTCTCCAGTTGGGGACCTCGCTCAAGGCCAGAAATGTCTTGTGTCCCTGCTAGGACATTAAGGAGAAAGGAGCCCAGTGCTGTGCTGCAGGCACCCCTCAGCCCCACTCCGGACTCCAGCAGGGAGAGTCGGACACAGTAGGAAGATCGACAGGCTGCTGCCAGAGCACTGGCCACCTTACCCTGGTTTTCTGACTTGGTAGCTCAAGAAAACAGGACATTTTTTTTTTAATACCCACAGATTCTAAGAAAAATAGGAAGGAATGACAGTTTTTTATCAGCATGCAGCTGGAATGTCTGAATGTCAGTTTTAAAAGCCTACATCTATTTACGAGGAGAGGTTTAACCTCTGTGGAATTTGTAGAGTGTATGGATTTGTATTGCTTGATCCTCAGACAATATGAATGTCTGTGTGATTTTAGACATTGCTGGACAGATGCTGGTCAGGCTTTTAGATCATCTGGAAGTTCATTTAGACCAACCTGTGTGAGTGAGTGAGGGTGACAAGTATTTCCAGTTCTTGTTTCTTTAATTTGCGCTACCTTTAACTTTTTAAGAAATGTTATATGAAATCTCCTCAAATAATTTCAAAATGACATTAACTTCTAATCCATTTTTTAGAATAACTATCAGTTACAGAATTTTTGTATCAGTAGCAGTGAGTATTTACTCAAACATCGTAACATAATATGTATTCAGATATCTAAATATATCTTTGAGACTACTTGATTGAAATCTGTGATCTTTATTTATGCTATACAAACTACTCAGAGGTACAGAAATTAAAAATGAGCAATTACTATATTGAATGAACTTTTCCCTGTGTAAGCTAGGGTTTCCCAAAGGGCATCCAGTGATGCTCTCATCTGCAAAGTACTTCTTCATGCCCTTTGAGGTAAAATGAATCTGTCTTTAAAAGCCAAGCTCTGGAGACAGGGTTCCATGGACTGTTAATGCATTTATGTAAAAAGGGGGTATGGGAAGTTCTATGGACAAATTAGTTTAGGGAATATTAGATCCAACAAAGAGAATTTGGTTTGCCATCGAATAACTGGTCAATTTCCATCCCTCACCCTGTCCATGACAAGAACCACAGGGTAAATTGACTTAGATCTTCTATAGCTACCAGACTGGATGACAGCAGAGCCCCAGAATATCCAAACCAATGGGTCCCATGCCAAGGGACAGACAGACTCTGGAATGCAACCTGAGCTTTACGAATGTACTAAAGTCTCTGTGGCATTGCCATCCTCTCTCTTCTATCTTTTCAACCCAACCACTAACTCAACAGCCTGACAACTGGGTCTCTCTCTTAGCAGCTGACCATCTAACTAAACAGTGTTTTATAGCATCTGAAGATAAACCAAAAGATAGGTGCTCTGATACAAAGGAGTCATCTCCTTTCCTAAATGGAACAATGAGGAATAGATTTAAAATGGGCAGTAGCGTCAATTCCAAAATGGCAGCAGAGTGAATGGAAGCCACACAGATCGTCTCCAAAAACCAAACTGGAATTACAACTAAAACACAGGCAAATCAACGGGAAAAAGCAACAGAAAAGCAGCTTGCAAGGACCATATAACAAGGGACACTAACTCGATTCTGGTAGGATTGCGAAGGCGCGAGACGGGGGCTGAGAGCCCGCAGACAG